AGTTCCTGATGTTACACCAAAGGTTAATATTGTTTGTATTTTTCTTTTTGTCCTCACTCCACCCTGCCACCCCCATTAATCTTGGTCTACTTTAATTCATACAAGGAACAACAGGCTTTTACTCTTGCTGACATTCTCCATAATTTGTCATTTATTTCCGACATTTTCTGAGGGAGGGTACTTTTGGTTTTTAAATTTATTGACCGTTTTGGTCAGAACACACAGTCTTTATATTTATCAAATTTTTTAAATTTGCAGACACTCTTTGTGGCTTAGAGCATTTATAAAAACTTATTATATACTGTGTATATCTGGAAAAAAACCCCATATATATTATATATAATCTTAGTTGTATATACTAGTTCTCTATATCCTTACAAATTCTTCATAGCTCTTCATTTTAGATATATCTTTTCTAAACCAGCAAATACCCTGTAATAGATTCCATTTCTCTAATAGTCACATGTGTTTTAAAAGGCAAATTTTAGGTTTTTTAGATTATTGAAATATTTTATATATTACTGAAATATAAAAAATGAATACTGCTTTCATTTTTACTTTTTCCTCCTCTGACTTCTCCTGTATTTACAGTTTACTGTATTTCCATTTCCTTTCTGCTGGTTTGAAATCTTTAAAAATTTTGGTCATATATTCTTTAAAATAATTTTGAAAAGATGTATCTTTTTATAAATTTTTTAGTTTTTTTCAAACACTGAAATAAAAGCTTTTCAGTTGTTTTTGAAACACTTCCATCATGTTTCAAAAATGGCAAAGTAAGTCATTTCTGTAGTAGTGATAGTTTAAGCAAAATCCACTATATTATTAACTGAATCTAATATTACAGCAATTTGATATCTACCATCACTCCTTAAAATGGTAGGAAATTTTACACTATTTTATTCCCATTTCGATTTTACTTCCCCATATAATTTTATCTCATTGTTATAGTGTGATGGTTGAAAGTTTTTTATTGATACCTTGGTCATGCATCTATTTCTCAGAATGTATGGAAAGTGTATTTGTTGAAAGAAAAAAATATTTTTGGCAATTAAAAAATCCATTTCCTATATAAACCTCCAAATGTTAAAGACTGTTGTCTGAATTATCATTACTATTCAAATGATAAGAACAACATAAATTTATCAATTTTATTGTCATTAAAAGTACAAAATTGTTTTATTGGAAAATACAGCACCAATGAATGGATTGTGCTGTATTTTACTACATTCAAGAGTAAATATTGGTAATTGCTAGAATGAAATGTCAATTTTACTACTATTTTTAAGTAAATGCTGAGAACTCATGCAATATAAATTAAAAGGGATAAAATTTTGTTACAGTGATGCCACTTAATTCTTGGATGCCTTTTATGGTATATGTCAAAAATCATAAACTGATCATTAAGTTATTTAATGATCATTAATTGACAATTCGTTTAAGCTTTCTTCCTACTGAAAGCAAAGAGTTAAAAACCATCCTCACCGGAGACCTTGTTGTTCAGGCCCTTTTCCTTCTTAGCTCCTTGGAGCATTAACCAAAAGGCTTTTCCAAGACTTATCTATAACTTATTTAGAATCACCTTGATTATGGAAATTAAGACAAAACTGAGTACAACCCCATAAAATTGGAAGATGCACAATTTGTTTAGGATGATTATATAGAGATTAGAAATTTTGTTTGAAAAGCATTTGTTTTTAATTAGAAGAGAAAGATCTGAGAAGAATTAATCCTAAAAGTAAAGCTATTTTTCTAAAGTTAAATGCACTATGTCCTAAAACTATATTTTATGGACATTTATACCTGTACCTACATGTAAACATATGTTCTGCTTTTAAGAGTGTTGTTTATGCTATTTCCTCCAACTAAAATATACATTTGAACATTTCTGAAATTGGGATGTATCTTATAATCCATGGCATATCATAGTTTAGTTGGCAGTGTTTTAACTAAGTGGTAGGTAATGGTGAATCACATAATAATGTCTTAGATTAAAAGAAAAATTATATTAGAATGTAAAAACTAAGACCAAAATGATACTCTGTCATTAATAAGTTCAGAGCTTATTATGCAAAGTATCCTGATGGCTATTATGTTTTATGACTGCTATTGATGGCTACTGTTTCACTTATAATAATACATAGTTGGAATGATAAAAACGGAGAAATGGCTCAGAGACAATAAGCAGGAGACCTGGGCCAGGTAAAAAATTAATATGAATACAAAGAATCTAATAATGAACCTGGCAAAGGTTAATAATGTTTTACCTAAGAATCTGAAACATGCTCTAGAAAATATAAAACCATGAACTTACCTCTGAAATGTGATCTTTCAACTTGAAGATGTAATGTTAATGTCAGAAATAAACATGAAACTCTTAACTTTCTCCTTGAAATCATGCAAATTATGTTACTCAGACAGGTTTTAGACATATTCATCAGGTTCTTTACTATTATTGATAATGAAGACAGTTTGCTTACAGCAGAGCCAACAAAATCCATCCTCTTTACACTAATCTCAAATTTTCTAATTCTAAGATAGATGAGGCTGGCAAACCTTCTGATTTGTCTAAAGATAAGGTGCCTTTCCCTTATGATCTCTTTTCTTTATACTATTCACCTCCAAGAAAAATGTTTTGAATAGTCAGGCGACAAAAAAGGCAAGTCATTAAACAAAAACTGTCATTACTCTATCTCCCTTACTTGACGTCTAAATTCTGAAAACCTCCACATGGGCCAATAAAACCCATTTCTAAGACTACACTTCACCCATAACGAAAATACATGAACTTCCACCACACTACCTTGTGGAAAGGAAGGAAAGGTCTGAGCAGATTCAAACGGAAGGGACGTAATTCCACGTCTTGATGGGGTAGTGGGAAGTTTCTGGAAGAGTATGTGGGACCTGGAATATTGTTGGGGTAATTTTTGAAAAATGTAACTGCCATAGATTTCTTTTGTAAGGCAGGGTAGCGTGATCACACAATGGCAGAAAAGAAATGGAGAACTGGCATAAGCCACTGATTTTGGAGATGGTCTTTAGGCATATATGGCTCTGGATGCCGTAAAATTATTGATGCCTGCATATACCTTGGGGAATTAAATACTGTTGTTTGAAGACATAGCTATAGATTATTTTTCCATTATTTAATTATATAAATACTTAAGATACAAACTTAACTATAAATTTCTCTAACATAATTATTTAGCATTTTTATGGAGGTAAAAATGTACACTCTGGAACACTAAAAAAATCATTTTTCATTTAAAAGAATATTCCATTTCATTCACTCAGCTAAATAAAAATAGGCTTATAATAGAAACAAACCAAAATATCAGTCGAAAAAACTTTGATAACCAAAAACACAACTACCTAGAGCAACACAGAAATGCACCTTTTCTGAAAACAACGTTTCTCTTAAAAAAATTAGAGAAAGTCAGACTTCTGGAAGTAGATGTTGGTAACTTGACAGGAAAAAAAGTTTACATTTAGTTAACATTACATTTATAAAATAGCAAAATAAAATGCATAAAAACTATTAGTTAGAAGTTAAAATTTGAAAATCTTCCAAATGTTAATACTTTAATACAATATCCTTCCTGACTTCCTTTATCTTTGCCAATAACCCAGTGATCTCTGAGATGCTTTAATAATTATTCCCAGAAGCCATTTCCTACAGAAAGCATTTTTTACCTATAAAGTTCCATAAAAGGGTTACAAAAGTATTCTATTTGCTCTAATTTTCATCATACATCATGATCTCAAATCTGTAAAGACATTAGGGAATAACGACATTTCCTTTAATATACTAAGGGAAAAGTATTTACTTTTTTATATATAGGAGATAAAGGCAGAGTAATATAGTAGATATAATTGAATGTCTACATTAATTCATCAAATATTTATTAAGTACCTACTACTTTACAGGCATTGTTCTAAGAGCTAAGGATATAGGGGTGAATGAGAAATAGCTACAATTTATTGAGTGCTTACTATGTGCCAGGCTCTGGCCTCTGAGTTTCACACATGTAAACCCATTTAATTCTCAAACACAACACCTCTATGACATGGGTACTACTAATTTCTTCATTTTACATATGAGAAAACTGAGGCATAGAAAAGTTAAATAACTCATCCAACTAGTAACTTGGCAGTAGTAGTCTTGTTTATCATGGGTATTAATCTAAAAATCCTTCCATCCTCATTTTCTTTGTCTCTGTGACAATGTAACAAATACAACTGGGTGTAGCTCAAATAGGTGGTGAGACCACTTCATTTTTAGACATTTATTTCTGGAAATATTTAAACAAAATTTTAACTAGCTTTAATTTCATGTATTGTGACCTCAAAATATTAAAATAGCCTGGATATGATGAGAGTTGATTTTGTTAAAATAGTTGTGAAAACCCTGGCTGGTGTGGCTCAGTTGGATGGAGAATCCACCTGTAGACTGAAAGATTATGGGTTTAATTTCCATCAGGGCACACGCCTTCATTGGGAGTTCAGGCTGTGGTTGGGGTATGTACAAGAGACAACTGATCAATATTTCTCTCTCTTCCGTCCCTTCTCTCTCTTAAAAGAAAAAAAAAGGTTCAGGGAAAAAATCTCTTCATATTTTTCTCTCCATTACTGTAGGTAAATAAACATACTATTCCTTCCTGTGGAAAACCACTTCTCTAATCCAGGTGGGCCTAGAGTCTCATCGTAGGGGTGGGTCCATTGTTCACACTAATTAGGCCTCAACTCACTCCCTTGGTCAGTTACTGGATCAGGACTACACAAAAACAATCTAAGTAAGCATGGCCAAAATGTGTGCTCTGGGATTGACAGAGTTGGAAAATATCCTCTTCACAATGGAAGTGATATGAAACTGCTGCTAGCCATCTTCTTTGGCCTCAAGAGAAAATGACTCCACAATACTGAAAAATATAGAGAAATTCAGACAAAATAGCTTTGAACTAGTTATGCAAGAAACAGGTAGGTCTTTGTCTTTCCCAATAAAGTTAGTATAAAAAAACTTTTTTATTTAAGCTTAAGTGAGTTTCTGTAACTTCCAATCAAATTTCAATGCATTTTCACAAAAGCATCACATAAAATATGCACATAAAACAATGGTTATAAGGAACAGAAATCTTTTTTATTCTCTTCCTTTACTCCTCCTTCCCTATTATAAACAAATACAGAACTGTCTACAGTTCTAAGGATGGTTTACCTATTTTATTTTCAAAAGCTGTAGTAGGCAAATATTTACTGATGAATTCTAACTGATTACAAAGTATTACTTTAATAATTCTACTCCTTTAGCATATGACAAAACCACAATATAACTAGACAAAATGTTTTATTTTAAAACATTAAAAGACAAATGTCCATTTATATAACCAAGAATGTTAAATATTTGGAAACTATAAATCTTCTAAAATGTGGTAGGCACTTTCGGAGAGCTAAATATTGCATATTATCCTATCATATGTCTTCCCTAATACCGATATTTGATATGATGAAAAATACCAAGACGACCCATGTCAGGGTTCAACTTAAGTACACAAGTGAGAATTTTGTCCAAGGTATTCCTGACACATGAAGTTTCCAGTTGAATTTCAGAAACGTTAACAAAAGTATCTTCCTTTTTTGCCTGTGAATGTTTGAGTACTGCTGTACTGTTGGCTTATATCCACTACAGATACTGGTTCTAGGCCAGCCCAAGGATCTTCAAGCATTGAAGGCTTGAAATAACTTTCCAACTCATTAGACATTCTTTTTTCTCTACCACGCCCTGATCCAAAAGGTGTAGATGTCCTTGGAGAACCCTTTAGAAAAAAAATCAGTTAAAAAACATTTAGTAGAGATCACTGGTACTTTTTCTTTAAAAGCTAGTCAGGATTACATTGCTAGCTAAAAGTTGTGCCATGAAGCCAAGTATGTTCAAATGCAAAGTCCACGATTTCTTTAGTTCAGTGTTTTTGTTTTTTAAAAGTATTTAAACCAATTTGATATGCTCCTTTATTATTAATTCTATGCCCACTGCCACTTCAAATATTTCAGGTTTTCAAACTTTGCAGAACTATCGATTGGCGATGAAATAAGAAATAATTTTATTTCCTTTTTTCCCTTCGAAATCTCCATACTTTTTTTCTGGAAAAAAGTTAAAACTTTTTAATCCTATAGCTTCAGAATTCCACTTAAATTAACAAAACTTCCCGTCTCGTTAGCTCCAGACTCAAAGGGATGGCGTTGGTTTAGCATAAGAAAAGTTGAAAATGCACCGAGTATATGCAAGTTGTAAACCACAAAAACAATACACACCCGGAAATACTCATCTTCTGTATTCACTCTCCCAGAGAGGAATAGGGAACTTCCCGTATTAACTGATTCTCCCTTGAGAAAACTTGGAGCAGAAGCCAGTGTACTTCAAAAACAAAGATGGGAAGAGGTTAAAAAAAAAAAAGGGGGTGGGGAGAGGTGGAAAAGGTTAAAAAAAAAAAAGTGCCAGCAGCCTATAACTCTCTAAACTAGATGAGCTCCACACTGGGAATTCATTCGTTTTTTACCCCCTCGGGTACCCGGGCTCAGAATAAATTCGCTGAGACGAACTGGCAAGGGCTCTGACAAAGGAGAGAGAACTAGGAAAATCATCTGTAAATTAGTGGCAGCGTAGTGGCTAAAAGCAAGAGGACTCTAGAAAGTTAAGACTCTGCCACTTTCTCAGGTAGTCTAAAAACAGTTACTTAACTTCTCTGAGCCTCAGTTTACTCACCTGCAAAGCGGGGCGAACAATTGAGTCTCATCTCATAGAGGATTAAAAAAAAATAACCCACATAAAGGGATTTTTAGTACCGTGCCTGCCATAAAGTAAGAGCTCGGTAAACGCTGGCTATTATTACCTGGGGGTGGGTGTGCTGCTGCCCTGGGGAGTAGCCGAATTGCTGCTGGGACCCCGCGGGGGACCTGGAGTAGGAGCCAGGGTAACCGCCAGGGGACGGAGACCCGAACCGGCCCCCGGGGAAGCTGCCGCCGTGTCGTGGAGAATGGCTGCTCCCGTAGGGCCTACAGAGAGGCCCGCACGACGGCGTGTGATGAGGACTCCCGTACCCGTCCCGAGGGGAGGACGGCCGTGGTCCGCCTCCGCCCGAGGTGCCCCGGAAGCTGCTCCCGCTACCCCAACCTCCTGCACCCGGCCCGGGGTAAGGAGGAGTCGGGGGTCGAAAATTCTGTCGGTGCATATCCGAAGATGAAGACGAAGACCTAAAAGCTGCGTCCCGGAACTGTCCCGACCAACCCTTCACAGAGAATTGGTGATCCTTTATCAAAACAGTCTTCCGGCCGTCAACGCCATACAACATATTGGTTCCGCCTCACAAACGTTCCGCCACGGGCAGGAGAATAAGTGGGTTATTGAATTCTGTAAAAATTGTGCTCATTTCAGTGAAAGACAGAGGATAAAGAAAAGGCCGAACACCCCTCCTGGCTACGGGCTTTGCAATCTCGGGTTTTCAGTCGGGACAAACCTACCAGACGCACAACTCCACGGAGACAAACGCGAAACCATAACGCCCCGCCCCGCGAGACAGCGCCGGAGGCCGGGAGGTGGGGTCTGAGGTGTTCCTGGGCGCTTGCGTTCTTCTAACGCTGGGACCTAGAGTGTCAGAGGGGCTCGCAATGCTGGCGACGCTGGTGAGGGTCAAGGCTCTGAGGAGAACAGGCTTTATCTGCGGCCCGGGCGGCGGGAGGGAGCTGTGGACCGGCCGCCTCAAGTCAGGTACCCTCCTAGACTCCGTCCGGGCGGCGAAGGGGATCCCAAACCCAGCCTCCTACCTCAGGCGGCGCCCTGATTAGAGCGCCCGAGCTTTCCTGAGGTGCCTGCTGACCCCGCAGCTCGCCCTTTGGTCTGTCCGCTTCAGCGCGCCCTTGGCTGCCGCTCTCCAGCTGCCGCAGAGTCAGAGTCGCCCAGCCCGGCTTCTGGGTCCTGGCCTGGTAGCTCGCTGCTGCAGGTCCGCCCCCGGCCCAGTCTTACTGGACGGACGTCTCATCTCTCTTGCTTCCCCTACCCTCTCGTCCCCCAAGTTTAAATAACTTCAAAAATGTACACCCGGAGTTTAGAAGGGGGTTTTCAGATTGTATCTTTAACTTGGAGAGGTTGTGCAAACAAATGCTGGACTTTATTCCCTTCTTTGGATTAGCAGACTAGGAAGCAGGGATACTGATTTTCAAAGAGCAAAATTTGGCCACAGCTCTTCAGATCTTGTTTCACAATCAAATATGAAGAAAAGTGTGATAATTGAGGAATGACATCTAATGTATAATAAAACACGCCTTTGTACCAGCTGTCCCAGAATTTGTAGTAAATTGATATTTACTAGTTTTGTAGATCTTTCTTCCTTCAGAAATTGGGGTTATAATCATGAATCCTGAAGTCAGCTTGTAGGAAACAGAATCTTAAAGAACTTTAAACTCATTCAGTCTTAGCCTCATAGGTAGCCTGTATTTTTCAGCCTATACACATTCTTGTAGCTGCTCCTTCTCACTCGTTGTTTTGTGACATGCTTAGCCAAAAAGTGTGATGCCTTTTCAGCTTTCATCTTTGCTGAATAGAGACCCACCGTTTTTGTTTTTGTTTTGTTCTTGTTTATTCTGAGAAAATTCGGTTCACCAAATTTCTCCTTTAGAAGCAAGCTGTAGAATCAATCAAAGCAGAATAGTCTCATCAAGGTTGGTGATGCCTGAAGACCCCAGATTATCCACTTTATTAAATACTTATATTCTGAAAAAAAAAATGCTAGACACTGTCTTTGGTGCATAGATTACTGCCTGGTAAGTGAGCGCTCAAATATTTATTGAATGGTCATATCATATTGATCAGTGATTCTCACCTGTTGTCCCACTTATATCATCAACCCATCTACATTTTCTGTGGGAAAGGAACAGAAAAATGGGAGGGCTGGGGGCCAAATTTATATCAATTTTTAACTGGCAAATAATTTTGCAGAATTCAGTAAAATACTGTAAGTTGTCATTTTACTTGGCTTACAGTTCTAGAATACTTTTCCCCATAGTGATACCATGCTATCTTCTTCACACATGAACTTGTATTAGCAAAGGGGGAGGGAGAAAAAATACAGTGGAAAAATTTTGAAAGGTAGGTTAAGAATTGGCATTGTGTCTTTCACTACACTTGCAGGTGTATAGGAGGATTGAGGGAGAGTTAATTTTTGATAATTATCTTGTTGAATGAACTAAAAAGAGTCTGGAGGCTTTGGCTAGAAATAAATGGTAAAGAGTTATTCAAGGGTCTTCAGGTTTGCAAATTCGGAGCATGACTAGGCAATACCCAGTGTTCTGAAGAAGAAAGGAAAGCTCAGAGTTCTGTCAATGTAAGAAGCATCAAAACCTGTTAAGAATTTTTATAAGTTTATTTGAACTAAACTGAGGACAGTGCCAGAAGCAAAGTTTCAACAGAGTGAGAAAATGCTCCCATGAGTAGCAGTTTTGTAGTTTATTTTCTATATCAAAATCAAAAGAGAAGACATAACGGCCGATGAATGAAATTCACTTGTGGTAGATTTAGGGAGGCAGAAGAAAGCAAAGTGATTGGATAAAGAGTAAAACTGAGAAACAAATACTTCTTTTGCACTGTTGGGTACAGGATAGTTAACAATTAACATTTACAATACATAGAGGTGGTATTTGGGCAACAAGATAGCAATATGGGTCTAGTGCTCTCATGCCCTGAGGGGTCTGGGAAAAAAAAGGAGTTACTCTGACATTCAAGGGTATGCTATTTTAGATGCAAAAAACAAAACATTACTTAAGGTAGAGTATGTGATTACCCCTCAAGACTTGCTTTCAGCTAGGAATTTTTATTCCTAACTGGTTCAGACCATGCTGTGAGGTTAGTTTTGGTCTCTTGAGTTTGTTCCAGGCATACCCTGAGCTTGTCAGGTTTAGTATGTGACCCCCTTTTCTTCCACAGTTCTTATAGTAAAAAGTACATTCTTGGGAAGAATCAGTCCTGCATTCTTAGCTTCTGGCTTGGCCAAAGATGGCAGTCCTTTACAGTGATTTTCAACTGGTATGCCAAGGGACACTGCGGTGGGGCAAGAATTAAAACACGCAATGCCTGACTATTTAGTCAGGGGCACTGTCCTCTTTCCCCTTAAATTATCAAATTAAAAAATGACAACAGTTGTCTGTTGGGAATGAATCAAAATTATACCTATTTTTTGTGAGGCTGGCAAAAAATATATTTTTTGTGGTTTGCCGCAGAATTTTAGTAATTAGTTTATGTGTGCTGTGAGATGAAAAAGATTGAAAATGGCTGCTCTAGATGACCTGCAATCTGGATAATATATGTCATATGGTCTGTATATATGAACACTCTTTCCTTGGTCTGTCAGGGGATAATCAGATGATTACTGAATAGAATAGTTTCCTCCTACCTCAACCTACCTGATTTTAGTCATTTAGCAGCTTAACTAAATATAGTGATTATATTTTATTTCTTCACTCTATTCCTCAACTGCAGAGTCTACTTGGATCACTTCTGAGAATAGGCCACTTGTCTTTTACAGATGAGGAATTGGCCAAGAAAAGTTAAGTGATTTGCTTAAGCTCATATTGCAAGCAGAGGTGGGTCCAGAACTTGGGTTTCTTGAATTCTAAGCAATTGTTTTTGTTACTCTTTTTTTATCCTAAATAAAGAATATGAATTGACAGTATGTCCTTTGAAAAATGGAATAGATAAATAATCATGCAAAATTTTGAAAGTGATATTGGGTAGCATGTTACTTTAGATTTAGAGATTTGTAGGTTTATCCTTAATATTGAATTTTTATAAATGTAGTTATATCCAAGTGTTAGCCTGGGAATTGCAGGTTCTAAGATCCTTAAATATTTATATGCTGGAGCAAAAGTAGGTTTACAGTTGTGTATGTGGAAAATAAGAATAGAAAATAATAATACAATAATTCTGTGTTTCGTGCACTTACAACTGTAAACCTACTTTTGCCACATCCTGTATTTATATTTGTGGATGACAAAGGGGCCACATACTAAACCTGACAAGTTCAGGTGAGGCCTGTGAGCCTCACAAACTCAGAGACAAAGTAATCACATAAGATGGCCTGAACATAAAAATCCTAATTAAAAATGAATCATGGAAGGTAACTACATCCTAGTCCCTCACCTTCCTTGACAAAGGTAAATCTGTCTATTGTTTATTTTGTATCTAAAATAACAGACCCTCAGAACCCCTCAGGGCATGAGAGCGCAAGACCCACAACCTGCTATTGTCATCTTGTTGCCCGGATACCATCTCTCTGTCTTGTAAATGCTCATTGTTAACTGTCCCTTACTGACAGGTGTGAAAGAAGTATTTTTTTCCTCAGCTTTACTCTTCATCCAGTCGCTTTGCTTTCTCCTGCCTTCCTAATCTACCATCAATGGATTTCATGTTACCACCCTTACATCTCCTTCTTTGATTGTGCTTTATAAAGTAAGCTGCAAAACTACCGCTCTTTGGAGCATTTTCTCAGTCTGCTAAGATTTTGCTCCCTGGCATTGTCATCAGTTTGGGTCAAATAAATTCATAAACGTTCAGCAGGTTTGGATATTTGTGCTGACATATTGAATTTATGTATACAGGTGGGTTCAGGAAAAGAGATGAGGGGAAGGGAGAAAGTTTTATGTTGGATTACCTGGTGGAAGAAAAGTGAATTGGAATGATGGATATGAGGACATTAACAGAGAATATCAAGAAACTTTCTGAGTACCTGTGAGCTGTATGGAGCTCCGGGAATAATTGGTTAACTTTGCGGTGGTGTGGTTTACACTGTTAAAGGATAAAGTTCAACCTAGTAAATATGAAGATCTAATTGGCTTTATTAAGGTATTCATAAATTGGGCTTCATTCCATCTAGCAACTATAGGGGTACTCTGAGGGGGTTATACAAAATACAAGTTGTTTTTTTTTGTTTGTTTGTTTTTTTTTAAATAGGCAGAAGGGTGTGGCGGGATAGTTAGTAGCAAAAGAAAAGAAAGGATTATTTTTAGGCCAGGTCATTTTCTTTTGGGGAAATGGAATGGCAGGAGTTTTGTCATGCAGATTACCTCACTAGTATAGATCCAGAAATTCCAGACTGGTTTAAAATTCCCCTCCTGGGAAATGCTGAAACTGCAGTTAGGTGATGTGACTTAGCAAAAGTAACTCCATTTTGGCTTGTTGTTTCTTTTTTAAATGACACTAATGTAGGTAAGAGTACCAAGTCAAGGCAATTATAAATGTAAATGAAACTTTGTTTCTGTAAAACTGAGGATCTTTACTTAGGTTGCCTACAATTTTTGGTCTTTCTTTTTTCATTGGATTTAAAATATAATATATATATATGTATATATATATATGTGTATATATATACACACATATATTTGTATAGACTTCAAAAAACCATCTTGGAGGCTTAAAATATGAGTCCAGATGGGCTGTGTTTGAGGCAGGAATTGGGGTCCCAGAGCCCTACTCTCCCTGTACCTCCTCCACTTTAACTGTCCCTCTGAAAAGAGGCTTCTGGGGCACCTCTGTGGAGTTTCCAGGGTTCATCAGAAAGGGTTTGAAAGGCAATATTTTAGGAGATGTCAGGTCATAATGAGTACAGAAAATATAAATACTTTGGTTAATTTTACTGTGTATTATCAAGTAGTGAATATTTTTATGTTTCTGCATGGTCAGGGCTTTATAAACTAAGAAAACTGGAACCTAGGTAAAAGAACAAGCCTTGGAAATTAAAAGATGACTGAATAGATTGTTAGGGAATTCCCAGGAAGCTTATGTTTATATTTCAAAGGAGTATGAAACCCAGAGCCTTGGAGACATTTCTCCAGATTGAGATTGTAAAACCAATCAAGTTTACCTCCCCCCTGGAGACATTTACTTTCATTCCAAAGGGCAGGAACCCGGACACCTTCCCCTTTCTTCCCAAGAAAAATTTGCTTACCCTGAGGGTAGTAATGTAGCTATTTTATACAGACTCCCAGATTTATAATTTTGGGGACATTTTCTTGTGGCTCAGCCCCTGTATGTGAAGGCCTAACAAC